AATTATCGTATGGTAATGATATTTCTGGTTAAAAAAAGTCCATAACTCTGGTTAATAAGGACCTTGTTGTTTACTTTTCATGAAAACTGCGTTTTCATTAGTAGTTCCCAAACTCACCGGGATGTAATGTTTTTTTTAAATTTTAAATCATAGCATTTCAAATTAATTTCAATATCGATCTAAGATCGCTTTAATAAATATTTTAAACTTACATGAACTTTAAAGAGAATATGTAATTTATGACTTCTGTTATTTACTTTTTTATGAAAACTACGTTTTCGTTAATAGTTTTAAATATTTAAGTGTTTTTACCTTCTTTATTTTAAATTTGAATTAAGGTATTTCCAATTAATAATTAATATTTTGAATTTATATTTTTTAACTTTTTAACTCACTGCATTTTTATTATAAATGCGTAGTCTATAACTTCAGCTGTATATTTTTCATAAAAACTACGTTTTCATTTGTAGTTTTCAAACTCTTCTAGTTTCAATGTATTCTTTTCCTTTATTTTAATCCACAGTATTTCAAATTAATATTGATTTTTTTAATTTAGATTTTAAACCTGCACTAACTTTGCAATAAAAACGTAGTCTATGTTTACTTTTTATTAAACTATTTTCTCGTTAACGATTTTATTTTTGAGCATCGATTTGCACAACAGGGAAAAAAATAAAAAAATAAAGATATTTATTTGATTTTGCAGCTAAAAGGGTTGACTGTATCATTCAAGCGACGATTTCAAAAGTGCTATAACTTGTTTATTTCCCTATAATGTTGTACTCTTTTCAAAATGGAACTCAAGAGCTCATAAGTAAATTAAAAAGAGTTTCACACAAAAAACATTTTATCCACGAAATATTTTCCTTCTAAGAGGATGTTCTGAGTGTTTGTTTACGTCTGCCATTTTACTGCTATCTCCTGCATCCATTTTTTTTCTTCCAAAATTTTGTTCTTTCTTTCTTTATTTTTTTAAAGCAGATAACTCAGTTTCACTGGTAGATAATGTCTAATATCATCTTTCTGTGGAAGTGTCACTAGCATTGTAATTTATTGGATTTTTGGACACCCACTTTCGAATTTTTGTCGTTTTCGAAAGATTTTGATTGATTTATATACAATTGTTGTTTTGATGCCAAAGTTTACGGATCGAGATTTCATTTTATGTTGTTTCATCAACTGTGACGTCAAAATATTTGGCACCCGTGGGTGGACAAAAGTTATGTTTAGAATTTAAGATTTTATAGCAGGGTTTAAAAGCACTCTGTCTGGAGTTTCGGATGATTGAGTTACATTGACCTAGAGTTATAACTTCTCTGGTGTTTACATTGTACGCATTTGTAAGTCTTATCTTGTTGGTCCTGTGCATTTCTTTGCAAATGTTCCTTTTCTTTTTTTTGAAAACTATGGTTTTTGTTTATCTGTTAATATACTGACCATTTATGCACCAAGGAAGTCAATGCGCTTTCGTTATCGTGCATTGTGCCCTGCGCTTTTCTTTTTTTTTTTGAGCATGGTTCCTTCACTTTTTTTTTAAGTCTATGGTTTTTGTTTATCCATTAATACTTACCACTTATGCATTGAGGATGTCATTATGCTTTTTTCATTGTGCATTGTGCCCAGTGCTTTATCAATTTATACTAACCATTCATGCTCTAAGATAGTTAACATTGAACTAAATTGTTAGGATTACTATTAAAATTTGTTTCTAAATACACCTAAATACTTAGGTATAATTGCTCTAATCACTAATAATTACAACTATCGAATACGATAATATCGCAATTATCGGCGATATAACATAATATGCCAGAGAATAATATCTCGAATATTATGCAAAACGATTGTTACGGATTACGATATTGTGAATTTTGATCATTTTTATTTGGGTGGCGAAAATATTGACCGTAGTAAAAATAATGTAAATTTGATAAAGTCGAAAAATATGCGTTATATTTTTAATTATCAATATTTTTTTGACAATATACAGTGATATTAAAATTTGTAATTATATGTTCAGATAAATGTTCGTGCAACTCCCTACACATATTCCCTTTAACAGTGAAGTACTAAGTACCGTTTGTAGCATGTTTCGGGGGATTGTCCAAATATATAAACAATGGAAACTAACCGAGTGTTAAAGTGTTTATTGAAGAGTGTTGAGCGATTCATTTTGTTGTTAGTACTTTTGCATTTAATTCGCAATTATTTTGTAATTCTCTTAGTTTTAGGTATTTTTTTGCTTGTTTTTTGCTATTTTAATTTTCATTAATTTTTCTTTTGCTTCAGTTTTAAGGAAAAGAAACTAAAGTTTCAAAATAAAATTAATACAATAAGAAGTAATAAAAATGTTTTATAATTATTTCACTCTAAAAATTTGTGTAATGACTATATATTTGAAAAAAATAATATGAATAACAAAAGTTGTGAGAATAAAATTAATTCTACAACTCTCTTTATACCTGTTTTCATTCTTTTCTGTATCAAAAATAGTCAGGTAAAAAAAAAGCATCTTTTAGCAGATAGTCCAAAAAAGAAAATTTAGAACAAGTATTGATGACTGCTTCGTATTTGACGAAATAAGCAAATTTGAAACATATGCATTAGAAATATAAGAATTGCCAGTCGGTATTGGTCTATTGTAAACGATTCAATGCAATTGAAATTAGATTGGATCCGAAATTTTGAGAATTAACTAACCAATCGAGTTGGGGTCGCCTTATTGAGAGTATACGATCACAATAGTCTTTATAAAGTGTGGGTTCCGTGAAAGGAACGTTAATAATTTAGAGTTCCATAGCCGAAAAAAAATTGAGAACCGAGAGTAAATAATATGATATCGTTGCATTGTCATTTTCGCCCTCATTTGCCAATTAAGTGTATATTAAAAGAGAGAAATTGTCCTAGAAAGGTGGTTTAGTAGCATAATTGGGAGGAAATATATTTTTATTTTATGGTTTTATATTGAAAATCCATTTTTGCTGATGAAAAGTTCATTTTCCCGGTGCAGCTGCATCCCTCGTGTTGCTCATTAAAAGCACTTATTTCAAGTATAAGGGATGTTATTTATATTCAATTTCACTAGCTGAATGAGTCCCTTTTTCTATCCGTGCATTGTTCATTGATCAACAAATTCCTTTTCTGGATGTAAAAAAAAGAAAAAAAGAAACAAGTTTAGGTCTCTTGTCTTACTCATGATCTTTAATGTGTGCGTGGTATATTTTTTCAGCTTGAGTATGAAGCTTACCGAGTTGTGCGCATGGAAATAACAAATCCACCCTTGTGTTCGAAAGCTATATTAAGATTCGATATTGGGTAAAAGAAAGAGGGTGCTGATGGTATCGTTTCTTGTTTTTTTGCCCAAATAGCCAAAACAGGAGACTTGAAAGCTGGGTGGCTGGTGTCAAACGTGTGGTGAAAGGTCAAATACGTCATGTTTCTAAATATACATTTGATTTGTAGTTTATAGGAAACTTCTGGAAAAGATTAATTAATGTGCTTGAATCTTGATTAAGTGCAAATTAGATTTAAACCAATGAAAAATCAGACCATATTATTCAGAAAAATATTTATGTGTATTAACAAAGCCTAGAAAAATACAAAATTTTGTGGAGCAACGACAACTTTTTAGGAGCTACAAAATGGAATGTAACGTAACAGTTTTTTGTTTTTATATTAAGTTTAATTAAAATATTGGGCATACCTACATTTTTTTTCGTGGCGACTTGGTGCCCAAGATCTGGAAGCCCCACTCATAAATAGTTCATTGAATGAGTAAAATTATTATATTTTCTACTGATAATACTATTATTACTAGGCATTTTTTCGATTCCTTTTTTTTCAGGAATGATGTTGCGAATAATGGTAAATAGCTGTAATTATTATAAACACATTAGGGTTAAATGTATGACAACTTCAACGAAAACGTTAAATGTTCGAGTCTCTCTATATTATACTTAATATCCCTTAATTAATATCTTATATTATTACACTTAATAGCTATATTATGGTGAAGTGGTTGGGGATCTCACATCTGTTTCAAAAAATTTTCGACGAAATTTCTTCTCACTGTCGTAGCTCTAAGATTAATTGATGGAACAATTTTGAAATGTTGCCCATTTTCAGATAAAAGTTTTGAAGAACATCCTGATATCAAATTGTTTAATGGTGTGCTCTTTAGTTTTTAAGTTATTTTATGTCAAAGTTGAGAATTATTTTTGGCCTTGCGTAATACTGTTAAGCCAAAATTACAAGTATTTGCAGCCTCGTACACTGAAAATGAGTTACTCACGTACACTGAAAATTAGTAACTCATCTCACTTTGTTTAAAATTCTTTACTTTTGGAGCAATTAAATAGTTTATATTAACGGTTTTTCGCATTTCTGCGTGTAAAGAAAAAACTCATCATAATGAAATTATAATTTTTTTTGTATCTACGTTTTCTTATGAATGAAGATAAAAAATAAATAAAATAACTTCTGGCCTTTCTGTAAAATGTCGAGGCTTGCTTTTAAAAGTGTATTAAATTTAGGTTAGCTTTTAGTGAACTTTTTTTATGTATTTCACATGAGATCGTTTTTTAGGTTTTTTTTAGGCACTTAATTATTTTTGGACTGAATCTTTTTTTACGGCTTATTACTTTAATTTTTAAAGTAAATTATATTTTTGGCTCATGTCGCTACGGTATACCTTGCTATGAGGGCAGAGGAATTAGGGAAGAAGGCTGTTGAATTAATCAATTTATAAATAAATGAATAAAAATTCTATCATTATTATACGGCAGTCCATGACTTAATTTATTTTAAATTAAAATATAATTCCTTAAAAATAATTCCTAATTTGTGAAAACTCTGTTTTCTGTAAGTCACTTATTTATTTTACTTTAAAAAAAAAAGAAGCAATTTTTTAGTATTGTGAAACGGATATATATTTTTTAATTATATATGACGAAAGAACAGGAAGTGTCTGACATCTTTTTTCTTCCCATCTTCTTTTTCAGGCTTCAAGAAATGTATCCAAATGTGGCTACCTCTTCGTTGCTCCAGACTGGGACTTCAATGTGTCGGTCAACAGGACAAAGGTCTGTTGATGGATTGTTGAATTTTATTTTAAATGCTTTTTATCGTATATTTTATCTAACATAGGAAGTTGGTTTTTATTTCTTTATTTATTTTACTTTGGTCACGATGTCGTATTTCAAGTCATAAAACTTTTAATCGTGACCGACTGGAACTAACATTATGGGCATGACTCTTTAATATTTCGGAAGCAATAAAAATGATAACTAACCATTAAAGTCTATTGTTTTTTTGGCTCTGAAATGTAAACAAACTCTTCATATTTTATAAAAGTTAAAACTAGTTTTTTTATGATTTACGCAGTTGCAAATTATCGTTTTAAGAAATTTTAACTCGAAGTGTCGGAAATAAAATATTTTATTAAAGACAGGAAAATAAGGAAATGAAACAATTCCGAAATCGTGTCACTTATAGAATGATTTGCTCCGAAATTTGTGCCGATTTTTTCACTTTATAATGTAATTTAATTTCTTTTTATTTTGAAAGCTTTAAAATAATTACTTTTAGTCTAATTTTTAGCGATGAAACTTAGACAAATTTTATATATTCATATTTTCTAAAATAAATGTGTTAAAATTAGTATTTTATAGTTAGCCCTGCTAAAACTACCATTTTAAAGAATTTTTAGCTCTAACAATTGTTGGGAATCACATAAAGCAAAAAAATAGAAGAAGAAAAGGATTTCGAAATCGTGTCATTTATAACATAGCTTGCTCAGAAATTTGTGTTTTTTTTCGATTTATATAAGTTTTATTTTTAAAGTGATAAAATGATTAATTACCCTTTCTATTGTTTCCTAACGTGGATAGGCAAGTATTTCATATTAAAAGTTATAAAAAGAAATCTATTCAAAATAGTTCTTGATATTTAATTATTTTAACATGATACATTATCGTCTAGCGTTTTATTTGTTTTATTTTACGTCATGGAAGAAAAAAAAAGCAAAACTTTTCAAGTTTATATAAATTGAATACAATTTTGCATGAGATTAATGCCATTTATGTTTCTTTAAAAATTTGATTAAAATCTGGTTCAAGAAAAACATAGATGATTTAGGTTCGTAAAGAATAATTTCATGTTATTAAAGTTTTAAAATTAATGTTCTAAGTACAACTTTCATTAAAATTTTAGGATTTAGTTGAAATAGTTGAAACATAGTTAAACTGTGTGATAATTCCACAGTCATATTTTACTTTAGAAACCATAACATTGTTTTCTTTAATAATAAAGTGGTTTACTAAAACTTTAAACCGATTCTTAGTTTGAAAACGATTTTTGAAAAATTTGAAAACATTTACGAAATATGGTTTTTAAATCTCAAAAAAGTGTGTGTATTCAGTATTTAAAATTTTTTCATATGAAGTCATGCTTAACTCTGCATTCGTATTTTTGTCTTGTCGTATTCAAAAATTTTTAAAATAATTCTAAAATTGAAAACGAAACAAATTGCCACGTATTCTAATAATTTGCTTTTCTTTTCTCGAAAAAGTACGTGCTTTTATAATTTCATTTTGTTTTAAAATAAAATCATGAGCATCAAGACAAATTTTTCAAGCTCAGTAATTTTTAGACAGTGTGAAGTATGAAAACTAATTTTATTACATTTCTTATAAAAAGTATAAATATTCTCATACATTAATATCAGATGTAAAAAGCATCAGCCTTTTAACTTGCATTTATTTTTCATTTCTAAATTAATTTAAATTCATAACAGGAAGATTTTTTAATTGAATTATGTACTAGCATGCAACTAAATGTAACCATTTATTGAAGACGTTTGTTAACATTGTAAACTGTAGAAATGAAGTTAAAGAACTTTCCAAAAAAATAGATCGTAAAATTATCAGTTTGAAAAAAAAGAACGAAAAACATTTTTAAAATTTTGAATAATTAATTGACTAAGACTCAGATGAGAAAAGAAAAATTTAAATTATCTTTTATTGCCATCTCTAAGCTTTATTCTCAGATAAACTGGTTCCATTTTATTTCATTTATTTATTTGCTCTTATTTTTATTAATAGTTAAGGAGCAGTTTTGTTTGTTCTTACTTAAATATTAATTTACTACTTCTGTGTATATTTCTTTGACTAAATTTTGTCTTAAATGATAATATGTATTAAGGTAAGCCATTACGGTATATCTTACATATGTTTTCGCTAAAGCACAGAAATCTGTTTTTCTGCAGATTATTTAGAGTAATCCGTTAATGTGACGAAAATTGTTTAATTTTTCACCAAGATAATCTTTTTATATCCCTATGAGGTATTCAGTAAATTTAAAATAAGATCTTTGGTGAAACAGCATCAACGTTTCTGCTCCTAAATTAACGTAAAATTATTTATTTGTTTTTCGATATATAAAGAATCAAGTTAATGCAATAAAAAAACTAATTAATACAATCAGTCACCAATTAATTAGATAACTAGAATACAAAGAATTAAACGGCATGAAATGTTAAAATTAAATGAGAATGTTAGTATATAATAAAATCTGAAGATAAATCGTAAAAAAAAGCAATTTTTCTTTCAGCGATGGCAGAGAAGATGGTTTGTTTTATACGACGATGGAGAGCTTACATATGCTTTAGATCAATTTGTAAGTAAAATTTTCATTAATTTCTCAGACCATTAATTATTTTAAATGTTCTTTCTGTTGTTTCTTTATTCGTTCTGTTCTTTCTTAATATTTTTTAATATTAATCTAGCTTAAAATTTAGCTCACCATCGATTAAGGATGCATACTAGTTAAGGATAACAGGCCACAAAAAATGGTGAAAAAAACTATAAATGTAGAAAAATTTAGTATAATGTAGAGGCTTTCAGGTGTCAACTACTGCAGTTAATTCATATTCTAAAAACATACAACTGGATGGAAAAATTCAAGAAGAAATTTTGTAAAGTTAATGCTAAATTTATAAAATTAATTTTTTCAGATCTTGTGCGAAGATAGAATTATTTCCGCAGATTGTTTATCCTTGATATCGCTCTAAGAGTTCATTCCTAATGTTTTTAAAAAAATTACTTTCGGTTAAATTCTTTAACACTGTAGATTTAGGATGCTCTACATTAGTTTCAAAAAGCAGGCTCCGAAAACTAGAAGATATATGTCGGAGGGGGAAAAAGGTAAAATAATTTGCTAGAATGCTGAAGTTTTCACGTGTTAGCTACTTGAGACAATTCGGATCGTAAAAACATATAACTGGATGAGAAAATTCGAGAAATGATTTTGTAAAACCAAAGTTTAACCTAAATTTATATAAATTTCTTGTGACTAATTTATAATTTCAGGTCTTGTGTGGACACTGAATAAACCTTTCGTTGATCATATAGTTCCATGATCAATAAACAACTATGATTAATAAGAAAAAAGAGATCTCATTGATCATAAAATATGATCAATAAAAAGAAAAAGTGAAATATTAAAAAAAACTATTTTAGCATATTTTTGTAAATGTGTTTTTTCTATTGTAAGTCTTTAGATTAAAGGATGATATCACTGTAATAATTTTTTTAAATATTCATTTCTACATAATTTTGCTGTATGATTTCTACCTAATTAAGAACATTTAAAAAATAAGTCAAAACTCATACATTCGTGTGCTTTTCGTGTACATGCTGGTACGCATTGAAAAAGATTTTGTAGACTTAGGAGAGTTCTCTAAAACTGTGTTTTACTTACTTCTGAAATTGATAACGTTTCAATTTTTAATCGATTTAATTTAAAATGCCACAAAATCGATACGCATTTATCATTTTTGCATGCACATAGGAGTCTTTTGGTTATTATTTGAAACATTTGCTAATCAGACTTTTTCATAAGTGCTTTTAAATTTCGATCTCATCATTGATTTGTAAAATCTATAGAAAAAGCTTATACTAATAATTGTATTAAATATACTAATAATCATACACTCATAATTCTATAACTAACTCTGGATTGGCAGCTAAGTCCCCGCCGTTATTAAAAGTTTTTGGCTTTATATTTTAGATCATTTGAAAGGAGCTGTTTCGTTCTACCGGAATTTATGTTTGTTTGTTTGGTTTTTTTTGAATTAGTTTTGTTAATTTTCAGATCCTTAAAATGAAAAGTAAATTTAAAACATGAGCATGCTTGATTCCTTTATCTTTTTGTTATCGGTATAAGTCCCGAGCCCGCAAAAACTACTCGCAACATTCTTGCTGTGTATAAGGAACGCGCCATATGTGAAAGAATCCGCTCGTGATTGGCATGCCAGTTTTAAAAATTGAAAATTTGTCCTTATGGTCATCCAGTTGAGTTCATTGAAGAGTAATTAAACGAATTGTATTAAACTCCGCTAGAAAAACTACAGGAGAATTGGCACAGAAAACGGAATTCTAACACATTAAAAAATTTAAAACAAAAACGGCAATAGCTCAGTTGCCAACCGAATAAACTTTCACGAATCATTTTATCGTTAAAATTATAATCAAATCGCTTGAAAACTATGAAAATTCCTGTCTGAAATGTATAAAAAATATAGTTTTGAGAAAATTCCACATTAAGTTCACAAAAGCTTATTCTGGCGTCATTCAAAAAAATGTATCTTTTTTATTGCCATGTTCAAGATGTATTGTATGCAACTCATGAAAGCATTTTGAGTTTCGCCATAAAGTTTTTAAGATATGAAATACGTTATAAATGATAGTAAAGTGTCTATGAGGCCCTTGCGGACTCTGAATAATGCATATTTTTCTATTTTCTTTTTTTGATAGCCGGACACCATTCCCCAAGGCACAATTGACATGAATAAAGTCCTGGACGTATCAGACGCGGAAGGCATCACTGGAAATGAATTTGCCATCTCCATAACAACACCTGACAAAGTTCATTTCGTCAAAGGAACCTCCAAAGAAGAGAGCAAATGGTAGTTACAATTTCGAAGCATTTACATTTTATTTAATATTTTTCGCTTGAAATATCATTATTTCGCTGAAAATGTCATTAATAGATAGTTATTGTTGATTAGTATTATTAAGATTTTGGTTTACCACTCTCATCATACTGAAATCTTGTTCATTAAAAACTAATATCTTTATACAGGGTTTTCTGAAAAGACTACCCTTAATGTCATATTTTAGAATACATATCGAAAATGAAAACAGAACAGTAAACAATGTAAGTGCAAATTATTAAATGAGAGAGGAAGCATAAAATATAGCAGAAGGATGTAATAAACATCGTAACTGGTTTAATTAGAGTTTGAAACTTGGGGTGTTTCTAGTAATCGTTTATCACCTCCTCTCTGTTCCCTTCCCTAATCGGACCTGGATCGTTTTTTATTACACTCACCCTCCTGTATTGTGTTTTATCAGATTTTAGCCTTTTTGTATTTTTCTAGGTCAAATATTATTTTATGATCCCAATATGTGTAGTGTGTACCTTTTTACTTCTAAATAAGGATTCTGAAAATACATATTAAAGGCGGTCTTTATAAAGTGCCTTGTATAAATTTTTTCCACCAAAAAAATGATTTTTTTTTATTTAGCATGCTTTGCAGAAGGAAAATAAGAAAGATTGGAGCTGCATTGAAACTAACATTCATAGTCATTTTCGACCCAATTTGTATGTAATATGGGAATGTATTTGTATTTAATTAAAAATTTTAACAAATATATCTGATAACTAAGGCCCAGATTTTGATGACATTTGCATTTGTTTGCATTTTTTGCATTTTTGAACATTTTCTGTCCTTTAGAGCATTTTTTTAGATTTATAGGGCATTTTTCTTTTAATTTTGGGGCGTATTTTGCATTTTAAAGCATTTTCTAAAGTTTTTGTTAATTTTTTCCAATTTTTATTATTTTTTGGAGTATTTTTATTACATGAAATGCAAGATTTGTCTTATAATTTTACATGTCATATTGTAACTCTCAAAGAATGTTTCAAAACATTTGCTAGAGCATACATTTATGCTCTAGAATGCTTCAAAACATTTGCTCCTAGTCAGCTTTGCCCCCTAAACCAGTAATCACACGATGGGGTACCTGGTTGGATGCATGCTTATATTACAGTGAAAATTTTAAGATAGTGAAGTCTATCGTCAGTAGTTTTGATTCAGAAGATGCTGCATCAATTAAGATAGCGCTAAACGTGTTCCCTTCTGATAAAATCGAAGGAAATTTAGCATTTATCAAGTCTAACTTTGCTATTGTGTCCTCGACAATTACAAGCTTGGAGAAACAAGAACTGGAACTTAGCGATGCAATAAATTATATTGATGTAGTGAGTCGAGTGTTGCAAAAAGCAAGGGGAAAAATAGGACAAAGTGTAGCAGCTAGATTGAACAAAGTTTTGGAGAAGAACACTGGCTTCCAAACAATGAAGAAAATCTCTAGGATACTAACAGGTGAAGCAACAACTTTTCAAATTGGAGAAGAATTGTCAGTAAGTGAGACCGTCTTTTTCAAGTACGCACCATTAACATCAGAAGAAGCTTCTCCAGGTATAAAAATTTACTTTCAGACAAGAGACGCTCGTTTACATTTCAAAATATCGAAAAACATTTAATAATCCAATGTAATTCTGATATTTAGTAATATTATGAGATGGAAGTTGTTATATTCATTAAAGTTTCTATACAAAATGAAAATGTTTTGGAGTCAATATATTTTCCTTTTTTTTGTTATTTTAGGACATAAAACAAATTTTTCAAACTTTAATGAACGTAGAACAAGTGTTGCATTGCTTTGTAGTTATTGAAATGACTCATAATTTTAAAGAGTAAAACATTGTTTTAGTTCGATATTTTTACTTTATTTCAGTCATGTCATAAGGCATTTTTAGCGCAATTTTCCCATTTTTAGAGCATTTTTAAGGGCATTTTTAACACTTCTTAAGGGTATTTTTTGCATTTTTTAAGGACATTAGTTGAGATTTTTAGGTCATCCAAATACGAGCTCTACTGATAACAAATATATCTGCACATTTAATGTCAATAAAAATTTTTGAAATCATCATAAGGTGCTGCGTTAAATTATGTTTCCGTTTAAATTAAACCAGTTATTTTTCCGTTTACTATTTTTTCTTTACTGAATCCTTTTCAACTATCCTGTGTAAGTTCAGCTTTACAAAATTTTGACCTGAATATGCATTCCTTCACTGAAGATTTGCCATTTTTTTTCCCTCTGTTTCTATTTCTTGAACAAAATTATTCAGAAAATCATACGATGAATCACGTTTTATAACAGAAAACGGCGGAATTAAATGGGAAGTTTATTTCAAAAAAAAATTTTAATCTAAGGGAACATCAATGTGCATCAGGAAAGAAAGATTCGAAAGACGAGTTTTATTTTTATTCGTATGAGATTTCACTAAACATTTTCTAGTTAAGTAACATAATTAAGAATAATTAGTCTCCAACCTTTAAGTTTTTAAGTAAATTAAACGTAAAATATAATGTTTTAGATAAGAATGACAATAAAACTTCTGCCTGGCTATCAGGAGACATGCCTCCCACCTCACCAAAAATTACCGGGCTATGTGTCCATCTCCTATATGCTACACTAAAGTATAATTTCTATTGTTCAGTGCGCAAATAAATAAGTAAATAAATAAACAGACCACCCAAAAAAACTTTTGGCCCCTAAAGATCATATCTTCACGTAGTAGGACTCAATCACGTTCTAGGTTCAATCTTAAAAATACATTTTCAAATTTCGATTGAATTTTGTATTTTGCCCTTTAAAATTGCATTCTTTAAAATGATGTAAAAATTGTACACCTTACAATTCAAAATTAATCGACTATTATTAAATAAAAAATTTAAAATTACTAAATATTTATTAGAAGTTATATTTCGTACGAAATTATCAATTATTTAGTTACTTTATAATTTTGAGCAAAAATTTTTCAATTTGCTTAAAAAGTTTCTCGAAATAGGGTAAAGCAAGCAAAATGCAAAATTAACATTACAAGGATTCAAACTTGGAATTACTCCCTGGCCAAACTATTGGGACCATATTTCCTAGATTGCGGCTACCCTTTTTATTTCGGGGTCCAGAAATCCGAATCCGTCGGGAAAAAAGGATATATAATATTCAGGGAAAATACGTTTTAGTGTCTGATTTCGTAACTTAAAATGCCGTTCGCACTAATTGAGTAGCATAGTTGAGGTTACCTCCTCGAACCATTAAAGATTGAGTTGTAGAATTCGATCATTAGATCAAAAGTTATCCTAAAGGTCCTTTTTTATATTTTGCGCTCTCTACTTTAAAAACTAATAATGATTTTGCATAGTTACGCAATATTAGTGAAGCGTTTAAGGCTAACTATAATTATTATATTTAAGGCTAAATGTTTTATGGAAAAAAAGAGTTATCTCACTTTATGAGCTGAAGTGTCATAACAAAAAATTATTTTGTTCCAGGTGGTTCGATGTCCTCTGCAAAGTGTCACCTCGTTACATTTCACGTCAAAAACATAAAAGAAATGCTACCTTTCCGTGCGGCAAGGCTACAATACCAACCCCAGCTGTAATAAATCAGGTAATTTCGATTATTTATGTACTAGGTTAACTCAGTCTATTGAAAACGAGGAACTGCTTGTTGGTAGAAAATTCAATATTACTTCGTTGTCATGTTAGAATTTTTCCCTTTATTTATGACACCAAAAACAATCTAATGGCTATTCAAGGAAAATGTTGCTTTAAAATAAGGAATATATGTGTTGTTATAATCAACTTATTAAATAATGTTAGAATAATAAATTTGAGCAATAGTAATATTTAACAAAACTGATCTTATTAAAAAGAAGCAAAAAAATTTAATAAAATGAAGTATCGCTTTTTAGAAAAAGTATTTTGTGGCACTAACTAAATACTACAATACATGCTTGATTTGTCACGGAATAGTTCTAAAATTTAGTTTTTGGAATATTAGATTCAAAATTTGCAAAAACATTGCCATGAACTTAACCTACTCCTTGGCTTTAAATTATAGGGATGGTGACCTTAAATATATATAACTATAATTTTATTTATTCAGTAATTAATTTGTAACATTTAATTAAACATAATTTTAACAAAGAGAATTATTTTAGTTTTATAATTTTACTTCGAATAGTTTTTAGATAACTCTTTCACTCCGTAAAAATGACTCTGTTATTTATTGCAGGAGTATTGCAGTGAGGATGACATGAGGTTAAACACTTTCTCAAGACCCAAGTTCCTGAGCACTTCCGAAATGATGCAAGATTGGATCCCTGCCACAAACACGGAAGAGGATGATGTCTTCTCCTCCAAAGATCCTTACATCAATGGATCGAATTCCAACAACAAGATAAAGAGAGATGTGGAAGTTCACAATGCTCTGAACAAACTCATATCCCTTCCAGAGGATACTCTTGATGATACTGAGAGTAAGTGCAATCCACAGATAAAAAGCGAGCACCCTGAATATAACTTTTGATCTAATGATCGGATTTTCATCTTCTAGGACTCAATCTTTATGTTTCGAGTGTCGAACTTTAATTAATTAGTGCAGATAGTATTTAAAATTACGAAATTAGACAGAAAAGAGCATTTTCTCTGAATAAACATACCTTTTTTTGTCGGATTACAGATCTTCAAATTAAGGACGTTAGTCGCAATCTAGAAAATATGTTTCCAAGTGTTAAGCAGCTGAAAGTTTGGGTCCTGCTACAATGAGAAAGTACGTTTTTGTGTCTGAATGCGTAACTTATAATATCGTCTACATTATTTTATTAGTATATTTAAGGTTTTACAATCATTGCGATTGAGACGTAGTATGTGAAAATCGGATCAGTAAATCAAAAGTTATTTAAGTGTTTCGACATATTTCATGCATAGGTTGTTTCGTTGTGACCGCCTTTAATGTACATATTTGTCAAAAATGACTTAGTATGTTAAAAATTGAAATTGATTTGAAATATTGTGTTAAAAGAAATGTCCAAACACTTGTGGGGATAGCGAGTTGAAAAACATCAAATTATTAATTATCCTTCATAATCATTTTGATTATGGATGCAGCAAGGATATGTCTCAATTTATAGTCCTTTGATTCCTTTTTGTTTCCTGCAGCAGACTAAACAGACTTTGACGTTTTTAGTTTTACCTTCCTCAGTACATTCATGTTTGATAATGTTTTATATGCTAGCATACGTATTTTTTCAACCTCATTTTTGACAAAGAATTTAAAAATGTATATTAAAGACCTTCATTAAGTAACACTCACATAATAAAATAAATCAGCAACTCAGTGTCAGTGTTATTTATTCTGGATACTTTCCAAACATCAATAATGCAAAAAAAGTTTTCGTATTTTTTTTATTATAACGATTTGCTCAACAGATTTTCTTCATAATTTTAGATACACTCAAAATTTGTGCAGCGTAGTTCAAAATATCTCTTGAGTGCTTAAGATAGGTTATGTTTTGAAGGAAACAAAATTATGAAAAGGGCAATTTTTATTAAAAACAATTTGAAAAAAATCCCTCTGTATAAAATCTGTTTTTATTAAGCATTGAAAAAAATAAAATTATTCAAAAATTACTTGCAATATATTCTTTTTCATAGATACTCATATTTCGTAATTGCATGCTTGCAAGAGACGTCATACCTGGGTCAGCCAATCAGGACCAACACACACGTGTGATGTTGCTTGCAGGAATCTAATTAAATCTTATCCGATAATGGATTCAGCGTCATGATATATCAAAGCCATAAAGTTATAACTTTAACTCGCCATGCACAACCACGTGATTGGACAAAATCATGTGATTAGTTGCTAGTACCCAATTCTTTAGATGTTACAAAGAATTACAATTTTTCCTGCGAGAAACCAAGCGAAGCAGTTTTATTTTCATATGAATAAGAGAATTAGTCTTGGAATGTATGATACTGATATATAACGTATGCTTTTTGTATCCCATTTAGTAATAAATTTAATTATTTACTTGCAGAGCTGCCAATAAATGAAGCCTTTGAAGAGAAAGCACCCAAGTAAGACTGAACATTTTATTTTATTCGAAAATTCAACTCAAACGCGTAGTGTGAGTTATCACTCCGTATAAAACGAAATTTGCATTGTTTTCAAATGTAACACCTTTAGCCCAATTTTAAAAAAAATCTTTCCTATTGTGTGAGTAAACTTAATGTTTTTTAAATTCATTCTGTTATAAGCTTTCTATGAAATATCATATAGCATGACTTTTAGATATAATTTCGTTGTTTTTTATGATTAATAAGCAGTTTTAAAACCTTAAAAGTACGTACAATTCGCAAAATAGAAAAAAATATCACCCTAAATAACTTATGCTTCAATGATCGGAATTTCAGTAGCACATTTTCAGGAACAAAGTGCCTATCATAATGATTCCAAGGGATAACTTTAACTATGCTAATTAGTTGGTACTAACTATTTTTTAACTATTCACTCTATTAATTAAGTGACCAATAACATGTGTTTTTATTTTTCTTCTATCGTTTAAATGAATTATTTTACTCGGAACTCGAAATACTTAGGGGATAGAGCGTTCCCCTCCCAATGAAGTGACCCAGGTTTGAATTCTACCCTGGCTTTCACTGAGCACAGTGCAGACATAAAATTTCCTTAGTGGTGGATGCATCATGGCTTAGAATCTCCTTGTCATCGAGCTAACCGTGGATGTTTTCGTGGTTTTCCTCTCCATGTAACGCAAATGCAGGTCAGTTCCATCAAAGAGTCCTGCACGATGGCTAGTTTGTCCCAATGATTGATCCTGAAGTTCCCTTGCCTTCTGGGTTGGTATCAGAATTACAAGTCTCTGGGGTTAAATAGTCTATAAGTCGGCATTTCAATGATGGTTATAAAATAAAATAAAAACTGGGACTTCAATGTCACGAGGTTTAATTGAAAAAAAGGTATAAATGAGAAACTTTTCTGGTATAATTTAAACTTATCATATAAATATCTATCTATCTATCTATATATCTATCTATCTATCTATATATATATATATCTACTTCATATTTCTTCTTGGATGTCTAGTGAGCATCTCAAACTTAACATGGCCCAAACAAAACTGTTTCATTTTTATCCTGAAAACTTCNATATATATTACAAAGGGATACAATATGCTTAAATGTCTTTAATAATAGCTTTAAAATTTAAAATAATATAATAAGGTAAATAGCTTTAAGAATCAACTGTATTTTTAATTTAATTTTGATAAATAACATTTTTATTCTAGCTCTATTTCATGTTTGACCTTAACAATAATGCTATAAGGTCATATTTTAGAAGCTAAATTATCCTTCTGAGAATATTCGGCACAATTGCCTTGTAATTAGGGGACCTTTGCCCTGACCCATGAATGACCGAATTTACCCTACGACCTGAAATAGGGGTATTCGTTACTCAACACTCTGGCGTGCATACTTGAATTGAAATACATCCCTATTAAAAATATTTCTCATGAAGAGAAAAATACCTTTGGAAACGGTGATAAAAAGCAGATACGTTAACACAATAATGTACGTTAAAATTAACTGTGTTATTTTTAAAAACAGACCGATTAAAGTCGTTCTTTCTTTATTGTTTCATCTTTTTTTATTATGACGTGATTATTACATTTTTGTGTAAATATTTTAGACAATTTATAATTCTTTTGTAGACTGGTAGGTTGTTAAATTTTGTTTTGTTGTGTTTTAAGTTATTACGACCTTTTTCAAAATGATTCAGACTTAATTTTTAATTATATTATAACCGTCGTTGAACAGCCGACCCTTTTTTGAGTTTATTACGACTACCAATGCTCACTCCCATAGCCTAATTTCGAACCCAATTCAAATGACAAAGGTACTCTTGGATCAAGTATTACGAGAATTTTGCTTTCGTGGAGGACTTTTTGATGCAACTAACCCGCATTTGGTTTTATGGAAGTGAAAACCACGAAAATATAGGAAAAGGACTCGAACCCATCATCTGTCTACCACTCAGGATATTTTACTTCAAGACTGATGTAGTCGGTGCGAGCCGGGTGTGGAATTCGTATCTACCAACCATCGCTGGGATTTGAACCCGGGTCACCTCATAGGGAGTGCTCAATTTTCTGAGCCACCATGGTTCACGTATTTAATTTTACGACACGTTTTCTAAAGATGCATCATTTGCCACATTATGAGGTATTAGCGAATATGATATATAAGTTCTATCAATTATCAAACTCTATGTTTGATTTTGCAGTTTCATAATATCATCAGATTGGACGCTAAAACAAATACAGTAAAATCTGGATAATTTTCCACTCTTTCAATTGTAGATTGGAAAACTGAATATTTTTTGGTATTATTTTACTATGCGAGGTGTTTCGTAATCATCATCGTTTATATACAGTAATCTTCATTCATATACCATAATCACCAGCATTTACGGGTTGCCCATTAATTAATTGTCTTAATTTAAACGTGAAATATGAAACATAATTTGAGGGAAAAAAAATATGCCGTTTTTTATATTTTCATTAGAAAAGCAAATAAAGAATAGTGCACTGAATTGTCCTACCTGTGGAAAGACGTTCTGTTTGTTTTTCCTATTGCAGTTTGTAGCCTACGCCACCTTTCGGCAACATTTGAAATAAATTTAATACCATGTATATTTTTTTTCTTCAAAATTTATTGTTTTATTTTATAACAAAGTAGCTAACGACGCATTTTTTTCAACTAGTATTTTTATTTACGTACATAAAAGTCAGTTACTTTTGTTGGAAAATAAATCAAAAATATGTACCCATTTGAAGTTTAAAATGATTTTTTGACCCTTTTCGTTACGGCAGTTCGCTCCACTGAAGTGACACCACTGAACTGTTCTCCGCGCCGCGAATTATGCACATTAAACTTTGGTAAGCTGATGTTCGGATTTTCTTGTATAAGTATTATACAGGGTGATCCCGAATTCATGGTACAAACTTTAAGGGTAGAAACAGGATATTGTAACAATCATTTAATGCATTGGAATCCATGGACACAAGTGACGCGGTGGGCTGCAAACAGGGGAAAGAAAAGAAAAGAGAAATTGTTTTTTTGCGTTGCCGGTAGCGGGCAGTAGATGCCTAGTTGCCGTTCAACAAGATGTATCTCACTAGGGAGAAGTGCCATTCGCACTTGTGCTGATGTCTACGATGGGAGTCTTTACGTATGCGAAAAAGCAGACATGCATTACATGTACGGCCGTGCAAATGGTAACCGCAGAGCTGCGCTACGAATGTATCACGCGCTGTTTCCTGATCGACGAATGCCGGATCACAGAATGTTTTAGCGGTTACATCGTCATCTTCGTCAAATAGGTCCGTTCCACGTCACCAGACATGAAGCAGGTTGACCAAGAGCTTTTCGCTGTCCAAGGCTTAAAGAAAGCATCTTGAACGTTGTGGCTGATAGACCCGAGTCAATTACAAGAGCAGTTGCTCATCACGTTGGTGTGAGTCATCAGACCGTTTGTAGAGTGTTAAACGAAAATCGCTTATGCCCCTTCCATTTTCAGCGAGTACAAGCTTTGAATCCGGCAGACTATCTTCTCCGCCTGAGATTCTGCCAGTGGATGGTGCAGCAATGTGCACTGCAGCCGGACTTCATAGCTCATGTGATATTTACCTATGAGGCGACGTTTACGCGCTAGCGTGTCTTTAATGCGCACAACTCCTATGTTTGGGCAACCGAGAATCCACGTGCAACGCTACCTCATGCGTATCAACAACTATTCTGTGTGAATATGTGGGCTAGTATTTACTGTCAACGACTTTTTGATTGGCCCATACTCACTACCGATGCGACTTAATGGCGAATGTTATCTTATTTTTCTGGAACAGGTGTTACCAGAGCTACTGCAGGATGTTCCAATCGCCATTCGTAACCGCATGTGGTTTCAGCATGATGAGGCGCCAGCCCTCTTCAGCACTGATGAGCGCACTTAACTGAATGTCACGCTTGGGGCATGGTAGACCAGTCCCTTGGCATCTGATCTCCCGATTTATCGAGCCTCGATTTCTTTTTATGGAGTTATTGGAAGAATCTTGTTTATGCGACTCCACTTGACTCAGATGAAGATCTCGTTGTTCAAATATCCGAAGCTGCTGCATGTGTGCGTGAAATTCCTGGCATCATCTTTGAACATGTATGCCAGTTGCTCCACCGGCGTTGTCAAGCGTCCACCAGTAGCATCTATTGCTACTGGTGGACGCAATTTTGAACAATTATTGTAAACATTACACTTGTCAAAGACATTTTCAATAAACACTTTGTCTTTCCTTTCCTCTCTTATTTTTTGTGTTTTTGCCTCACCGCGTCCCATACATTACTATACAATAAATGATTGTTACAACGTCCTGTACCTACACTTAAAGTTTGTACCACGAATTCGGGACCACCCTGCATAGCAATATATTTGCAGTGCTCGTAACCATTATAAATAAAATGTAATCGACTTACATTAAGCAAGTTCAAAATATTATTTTAGTGGTATTCAACCTAATTAGGTCTGTCGAGTATTAGTGGTAGTTTGAAACAGAATGGACCGGTTATCAAACAGTATCACGTTAGCGCCAACTAAATACAGCTCTCGCACACACAGATCATAGTGTGAGGGCCTACTAAATACGGTGCTCGTACACACTGGGCATTGCGTGGATTCCAGCTAAACACGGCATTTGTACATGAAGGTCATCGCATGTATGTCGACATAGTACGATGCTCTTACACGCAAGTAATTGCGTGGATGTTGGCTAAATACAGCAATCGTACACATTGGTCATCGCATGCTTGTTGTTTGGATGTCAATTTACGATCCCTAATGTGCATATTCTTTTAACTTCTTTTTAAAAAATGTCGCAATAGATATTCAAAGTTCCCATCATTGCTCGCCATGCTTGCATTGCTCCATCTAGCCATGGATTGGCAGACTCGCCGCCCAAATACACCCAGATTTTATTGGATATCCGTAATGGGGATAATTAAATTGGATATCCGTAATGCGTATAAGGCTCTTTTTAAAGTACCCCAAAGAAAAAAATAGATGCTGTTTAAATCAGGAGAGCGTGGTGGCAGAAAAACAAGTCCATTGCGTCCAATCCATCATGTAAACAACGTCACCTAACCATGGGTTGCTATGCATTTCTAAATTCGTGTGATGTCCCTTACCTCCCTTTAAAGTCTGTCCCAATAATCCTGGGGGTGACACCTTGTGTATATTGAATGGTAGGTACAGAACAGCCTGTATGTATGCATAATAATGTGATCTGTATGCGGTTTGCGTTACATATATAACGCAAGCAATATTTTTGTAATTTTTTTGTCATTTAATTAATTTATCTATTTTTTTGTTTTATTCATTAATTATTTTTGTTACTTTAGAGATTATTTATCAGAGCTAGAAGAGAGTGAAAATCGAAGACGTAACAGAAGATACCTGAAGCGTGAAAACCGAATCCAACGCAATCAGCGCAGTCGTAACGACGGCGTTGCCAAAATGATACCAAACAAAAGTGCGAGCAAGAGTACCCTCACAGATTCTACTAGTTCTATTTGCAATCAAACTCCTAACACATCCGCCATTGCAGCCGCTGAGAAGTTGGAATATCTGGAGTCAATTCACTCCAAAGATGATAAATCACCTTCAATTCAAAGAGATATTATCAAAGAAATAGGTAATATATTTTTTATACTAATTTATTGTAAAAAATAACTATTGTTGTTATTATAACACCTTTAACAGGGTAATATGATGACTCTTAATTTTAAGTTGGAGAAAAAGTTTCTTACAGATGAATGAAATGAAATGGAACGCTGAATTAAATGAAAATAATTACTACACTCCGTTGCAATTTAAGAATAAACCATTGCGGTATAGGATTTAAGTAATCATGCGTGACTGTGTTAGTTATGTTTTATTTCGTTATCAAATTATAGAAATATACTTTCAAAACAATATAAGAGCTTTTGAAAGTTAAGCATGCCAGGCAGAAATTTAATTTGTCCTATCTTTTACGATATATATCATTGAATTATTTAAAGATGGTTACAGTGTCGCAGTCTTACTGGAATCTCAGACTTGGCGACATATTTCGAAAAATAAGGAGAACATTCGTTCTTGAAAAAGAAACAACTATATGACGCTGAAAGTGCATTGCATTTAATTGGACCACTAAAAATGGCGCGTCTTCTGCTTACATTCCTTAAATCAAATGAGAGAGAAAGAAGTTTTACTTTTGTTTCGCTGTAGAAGAAAATCGTCTGCAGGAAACAATATTTATCATTCTTTCATCAGTTTCTTTAAATGCGAGCAGAAAGACGTATATTTGTTACGATATTTAGATATTTTTAACAATTCTTACAACTTGTTAATTAATTATTGTTGTTAATAAGTGTTAATATTATTAATAAGAAAACAAGCTAAAATTAAGCCGTATAACGTCGTTTCAAGTGTTGGCGATATTGGTATAAGTTTGCGTAGTTTGGCACAACTTGGCGCGCACTTAGATGCAGACAGGCACTCTAAATAAAGATAAGAGGATAAGGAACGTCCTTACTGCATAAACCGCTCCATGATAGGCACGGAAATTTTAAGAATCAAGATTAGTTTCGAACGAAAATCACCCAATTGATACCATTGGAAGAAAGAAATCATTGCAGTTATGCAGGGCAGTGTGAAAATGAGCCCTTTCACAATTATTTAAGAATTGTTTTCCATGCATTTTTAATTCAAAAAACACTTCATCGACCGAATCGGATATTCGTCGCGGACGCTTACCAACTGATAACCTAATAACTGACTTTACTCAAACTGTTTTAAATATAATTTTTATATAATGCAGCATTAATATCATAAAAATACATGTTTTTTTAAAATTTAATTAATCTATACATAATAATAAAAGCGGCTGTGTGTGTGTGTGTGTGTGTGTGTCTGTAATCACAATATATTGCCCCAGAAGCCTCGCCCAGGCTCGAAACTCGACACATAATTGTGTTTTGACATAATGAAGAAGTATTTTTTTTCTTTTTCAAAAATTTGGATTNATTTAACATTGAAACGCTTTGTGAGTTGATGCAATATGAAACAACCTAGACAATACAAATATTTTACGTTGGAATGCTTCATAAGAGAACACAATATGAAACATTCTATTCAATGAAATGTTTTATATTGGAATGCTTAGTAAAAATATATAATATGAAACTTAAAGAATGCGACTATTTTATATTGGAATGCTTCATATAATATGAAACATCCTATACAAAAGTATATAATATGAAAAATGCTATACAATGCAAATATTTTTCATTGGAGCGTTTCGTAAGACGATACAATATTTTCATTGTGAATGCTATTCATACACAATCTTTCACTAGTACGTACGTAATCTTTTTGTTTATGGGCAAATATTTTCTAAGCGATAAAATACTTTTATTTATCTAAAAATATGTGAGGAAGCTATCATGTTATAACAAAGATTCTTATTTTATCTTTCATGTAAGCACTTAATATATTATCTGAAATCACACTGTGTTTATTACTATTCCTAGAAAACCAACGCCCTTTTAGATGCTACTGATACAGTAGTGAAAGTTCAAGTGTTCTCCTTTCTTATTTACTTTTTTAAAAAAAAATTCCTTTATTAAGTAACCTTTTTTCTTTAAATAATAAGTCATTGTATTCTATTTTTCCGGATTTTTTGTCGCTGTTATTTCTTAATAATTTAGATGATAAATTATCTCTGATTTTTTTTAAAAACTTATGTCATTAATTTTTACGGAATACTTTCAATGCATGCCACCGCCATGTACTTGCCGTATTAAGTATATTCTTCCATTTGTTAGAACATTTTTGTTAACTATCTCAAAATTCTTCGGCAGTGTTTCCGTTAGTGTCTAACACGAATAGAAATATCTAATAACACATTTGGAAATGTTTTTGCGTTATATGGTGGGTGGGTTTTGAATCCAGGTTATTTAAACAAATCCTTCCATTCACGACTCATCATTATTACACTTAACGTATATTTTATTTTATAATCGTCGTTGTACAGTCGACCCAATTTTGAGTTTACGACTATCAGTGTCCAGCTCCGTAGCCTTCTAATTTTGAACCAAACTCAGAAGACATGGGAACTCATAGATCAAGTAGTGGGAGAAATTTGCTTTCGTGGAGGACTTTCTTAGTGAAACTAACCCGCATTTGCGTAACATGGAGAGAAGAACCTCTCACGGTTAGCTCAACAGCAAGGGGCTTCTAACCCATGATATGTCTATCACTGAGGATATTTTAAGTCAGCACTGTGAAGCCGGGGGCACAATTCCTACGAACCAATCACAGCTGGGATTCGAACCTGGTCATATCCTTGTGAGGCGAACGCTCTATCCTCTGAGTCATCGCGGCTCTTAGTCTTTACATTACAACAATCAATTTACGAGCCACAAAATATCAGACGTTATATTTATAGCTCTTAATCCCTTGTGCAAATTCAAATTATTTGCATATCCATAAAGGTTGAACTGATTACTTTTTTTAGAATGACTTTTATTTTTAGAAATTTAATTTTTTATTTTGACCATCTTAAAGCTTTGTTGATATAATGTTACTTTAATAATCGTATTCCATATCCGCTCATTCATAACTTATACTAGTCGGTACACAATTACTGGAAAATATGAATATTAAGTTTCAATTAGTTTTATGCTTTTTAAGTCGAAACATTTATTTTTTATCTCTCTTTCTTGCATTTTTGAAAATCAAAAACATAAAATCCTTTTTTTTAATCGATATTAAATTACACCATCATTATCGTATTATAAATGAAAATGTATTCCTGTTTTTATGAAACATTGGAATATGTTTACTTTTAAATTTGGATTTCTTTTTTCTCCCTATTTCAGCATCTTCTACAGAACTCTCTGCAGCTAAAAATGGAAAGCAAACTCGATCCAAAACGAATCTGCGTAAATCAGAATCACTGAAAAATATTCCAATGGAAACTGAATCCGAAATAAAGGATCACGTGTCAGGCCTCAGAAGGTATCATTCCTTTAAAGGGTCATCGTCTCACCGTAGAATTAAGTCTCCTAGCAGTGGCACTTCTAGTCTCAAAAGAATAAAGTCATCCTCTACTGGGCACCCGAAAGCAACTAGTACACCCTTAAGCATGGTTACATAAATTTTTAAATGTCATATATTGTTGTCAGTTCATTCTTTGTCCTTATAATTATTGTTATTCTGTGAATGTATAATTATAGTATTTTATTTCAATTATTTTTATAGCAGAAATAAAATTCATTTATTTTTATAGAAAGGAAAAAATAAGCAGTTCTCTCAAAACGTGAGAGTATAAAGAGAATACCACAACAATTAATTTAAAATTTAATTCGCAGCAAAATTTTTAGAGTAAATTGTTCTGTATAGTGACATTAATTAACGTAAAATATTGCAAAAGTTTTTTTGTCACAACTCTCTAACCAAAATCGCTGAAGAAAGTCTTTAACCAGAAGGACACATTTTTTTCATGTTAAACTGAGACAATGCAAAAAAAAAATTCCTTTTGAAAAGTGTTTCCATGTTTGTAAATTCAAATATAAGAATAAAGTTTTATAAGAACGGGAACTCTAAACATAACATCCTTGACAAATGGAAGCTATAGGTAAATTAAATTTTATTGAGTGGAAGATTTTCAATAAAAATAATACTTGTTATAATGTATTAATAATCGAAACAAATTAACAGAAAAATTGAAAAAAAATTAAGAGCCTTAAAATTTAAGTTAATGAAATATTATTACAATAAAATTATTGGGTTAAAACTAAGGCTGAATTTAAAATTCAAGGTTTTTCTAATAATTGCTTATCATTCTTCTCTGTCTTTTTTTATAATCTCACGAGTTTTGATATTTTCGGTTGCGCAGGTGTTTGTCATTAGATTTCAAAAGCATTTTTAATTTTTTTAGTTTAAATATTGCTTAGCAATTTCATTTTTGATAATAATTCTGGAAAAAAATAAGGCTGGTCATTAACGTAACTGTTAGAAAAACGGAAACTGTTGGTTTAATACCATAATAAGTGGGAAAAAGAATGCAAAAGGTAGGAAATTATATATGATAAATTAAAAAGGCATTTTAAAATACCTCTTTAAATTGAAACTTTATAGGATCTTATGGTTGAGATTATTTATTGTAAAATTGATTGACATTAAATTATAAATAAATTTGAAGCTATTATTATTATTTTTTCAATTTTTTGATTTTTTAATATTTAAAAGATACCTTGTTTTTGAATCTACAATTATATAAATTAATGAAGTTTTTTTAAAATAAGATATCTTGTATATTTGATTTCTATTTGTATTATTGTATATTTTTATGCTATAATTGTTTTGAAATTGCAGAAATCTTCAGTCACCCTGAGTACATCTCCTAGTACAAGTACAAATATCCCTTCCTCATTAGATACTTCTTGTGAAAAAACTAAAGAGGTGACTTGGTTTTATTTACTTAGCATTGTTTCATTTTATTACAATTCATCAGATATTACTGGCTGCTATATTTGGAGGAGATAAATTTATAAAGCCTTCATGAGGCTATAGTGCTGATTAAGTAAAAGAAGATGTTGTTGTAAGGTTATTTTTAAACTTGGGTAAACAGTAGGAATGCCAAATCTAACGTTTGCTCTAGTGAACTGCGCATTCAATCTAATTAACTACTGAAATTTGAAAAAAAGCGGTATCATTTATTAATCCCTTAAGAACGTGATCAAGCATATGTGATGACGCGATTCTCTTTCATGGCCCAATGTATGATATATGAAACCAGGTTCTCCGACCCCAGCAGCCCATCATCACACGGACGTGATTTCAATTTGGAACGTTTTATTTCAGTTTTTAAATAACGTTAGTTAGCCGTCGAAGTCCGTTAAAATTTTGAATTATGTCCCGCAGACCATCAATATGCGTTTTCGACTCCGAGTATTTTGTTTTTTAATTTGATCCTAGGTTTATGTAAAAAACTGAGGGTGTTCCGTGAACGTGAATTACTAAGGTTTTTATTTATGTTCTGACGTAGTGGGAAACGAATGGACGGATTATAATTATTTTTTTTTTTGGNTTTTTTTTTTTGGGGGGGGGGGTCAGTGTTGTAACTGTTTTTGTAAATATCACGGACATTTTTACTGTATATTCAAGCACTATCAAATATAACAAACTGTAAATTTCATCATATTTAATTACAGTAGCAATTTAATATGAATTTTTAAATAAAATTAAGCTTAACGGGAAAATTGCCTGGTTTCATGCGTACATAAATTCTCGAGCCGTGCAGGCCTAGGGAAGTCGTTTTTTTACCGGTTCGGAACATGTTTATTAAAGCTGTTGAATAGCATCGAACGATGCTACAAGGAGTAATCAAAATGTTTCCGTCACGGGATTGTACAATTTAGATTTGATACACCGAACATGTTAAATCGACTTGAGAATTTAGGCAATTATCTCATTACATCAATCAGATAATTCTTAAAACCGAATTTTGAGTCAGAGCAAAAGCACCCTCCTTCCAAAAACAGTGTGATCTTTCATCATCTTTCTAGAACCTCATAGCAAAATTGTTTTCTTGGTCAATGCTCTTTTTTCTAAAACCATGTCGAAATTATTTTGTTGATGTTTTCTTTTATATTAAATTAAATAAATAAATTTATAATTAAAGGCTTTTAAATTTATACTTAAACCTTTAAAAAATTTATAATTAAATTTATACCTAAGTCTTCTAAAGAATACTTATAGTTTTGTTCTGAAGCTTTCATTTAATTATTAAGTGTATGTGTGTTTAGAATGTATAATCTTCTACTGTATTTATGCTTTTTTTTGTAGGGTACATTCATGAGAACCGGATGGCTTATGCGTCAAACACTCACCAAGGATTGGTCTAGACATTGGTTTGTACTAAAAGATTCTTCGCTCACTTATTACAGAGATCCTACAGCTGAACACAGTGGAATTATGGATGGTATCTTAGATCTCAACCAAGTCAGCACAATTAGGGAGCAGGACTCAGACAAGTTTTACGCCATTAGCCTACGGGTAATTTCAATTTAGTACTCTTGGTTATTATATGTTTTCTTTCTTCGTATAAAACTGACTTTCATCGTAATTAGATTTATATCAACATATTTCATTAAAACCACGTTTAATCGCGAATCGGCCACTTCACCTATTTTATTTGAACATCTGACCCAATTCTCAGTTTATGACTATCTATGCTCAACTCCGTAGCCCTGTAATTTTGAATCCAACCTAGAAGACAAGAGAGCAAGAATTGGGTCAAACTATCCTTCGTGGAGGACTAATTATGGAGACGAACTCTGATGGAACAAAACCGCATTTGCGTCACATAAAGAAAAAAACCACAAAATCTTCAAGCTGTTAGCTGGACGGCAAGCATTCTAACCCATGGTCCGTCCATCACTGAGGATATTTTACATCAGCACTGTAGTTGGTGCGAGCTGGGAGAACAATTCGTACCAAACAGCCATGGCTGGGGTTAGAACCCGGGTCGTCTCATTGGGAGCGAACGCCTTACCCCCAAAGTCACTACAGCTCGCCACTTTGACTTTAGGTTTATCGGTACCTACTTGTTGTCCCGTCTACCAATTTCGCCAACATCGTTCCAAAGTCATTTTGGTATATTTTAAATTTATTTTAATATAATTTTTGATTCTAAAGAAATTGACAAAATAAAAATATAACTTATCACGTGCAGAAAAAAATTAGAAAAAATTCTGATTTGGTGAAAAAAGTCCCCGGGATAATACGCAAGTACCGGTTTATCTCAATTTTAACGATTTAGTTTACCTACAGCGAAACGCATAGGAACCGGTCATTAATTCTATGCCAGTTTGGTTCTTCCTCTCATACTCGCCTCTTTGCAACTCCAATTAAACATTTTAAAACAGTGGATTGAAAATAAAAATTAAATAAATAAAATTAAATAATTTTTATTAAATAATGATAAAATTATAATCTAATGTTAATCCTATTGTAAAATTAAAAGTATAGCTGTAACCAAAATTCGCTAAATAGCTGATGAATCAAAAATTTGAAAATACAGCTTTATGGTGCACAATAACATATATTTTCACGTTGATGCATTTTCGATCTGATTCAGGCCCTTAATAAACATATTTATATCTGCATTTATCTAACCAGCGACATGTTTACAATATGTTACATCTATGTTTATCATTATTCACATACAAATGTTCCTGAAATTATAGTTATTTTATATTTCATTTTCAGATGTGGGATGGCAAGAAGCATATTCTTGCAGCAGAAACGGCTGAGTTTCGAAACATGTGGATTCAAGCCCTTCAATATGCCGCTAACCTTTGGAGTTCTGCATCAAAAGAAGATTTCATCTGCACAGAGATAGTTCTGCCGGAACACAGCTTCCATTATAACGATCGCATGGAGAGGATTTCATCGCCATCTAGTTTGATATCTCTGCCGCATGCAGAAGAAATTAACCAGGAACAGGAATATTCCTCTTATTCCAGCGACGATCAGTCAGAATACTTTTCCCTTGTTGACGAAGATGAGGTAAAACATTAAATTAAGCTATTTCAGTTATTAAAAGAATTTAGATAGTTTAGATTTAGTTTAGATAGTTTTAGTTTACTTTGCAACAAAATCTTGTATTCTAAATTTAAAATGTTAAATTGTTTTTGCATAAATATTTTAAAATTGTATAACTTAATTATAGGCTATCATTACCATGGACCAAATTTTGAGTAAATGTGACTGGGTCGATATATTCTTTGTAAATGTAGAACATCCTTTTCAAAATTGCGTGATTTGCTAACTCAAGTATAATACAACTTCTTACAGGGCTGTGGTTACCCAGTCGTTAGAGAATCGGAATTCGGTCAACACCTCCTAGAAGAAGGAAGGCCTCAGCACGGATCAATTTAGTAGTCCGATGTGACGAAGTTAACTACGCAGTAGATGAAAAATAAGAAAGATGTCATTACGTTCGGGATACTGAGCTGCGCAGTGGTTAAAAATACGAAATATGTCATTACGTTTGGACTACTAAATGATATTTATGGTAACCCGTGCTGAGGCCTGCTCTTTTCTAGGAGATGTTGATTCGGTCCGGAGGAGCCGGCATTTGATCCTCGAATCCGTTGAGAACCATTAAGTACATGCAATATACGTGCTCGTTAAATCTGTGGAATTGAAAGTCCTGTGGTCGATAGTTGAGCAATACGATTGGAACAGGGATCTGTAGGGAATTTTCTTCCACTTCAGAGCTATGTCTATATTGCGGAAGTTTCTACATGAATGAGTGGTGCTGCCATCTATCCATGGGGTTCTGAGCTACGACATACTGTTACGCTGGTGGCGCTCTCTAGTCAAACGAAAGACGCATCTTTCTGACAATTTGCAAAAGCTCAATGGATGGCGAGCTCGTCTTGACATTCCTAAATTTCTATAATACAATTATCCTATTAGTTTCTGCATGTGATTGATGAACCCGGATCAGTAACTGAGGGAGAAGTGAACTTATTTGGCTAAAAAAAATTTTTCACTTGGCTAATAAATATTTTTTCTGCAGATAGGCCAAATAACTAATTTTTCAGATGTCAGCGAAATCACCGGATTCTACACAAAGGTTTTATTTTGAAAAATAGAGTCGATGGCATCTTTAACTATAATTTCTTAAATTATGTTTTTTTTCTTCTTTTTCCACAAAATCCGGACAGCGACGAAAAGAACCTGATTTTACGGTCATTTCAGACTTGGAAAATTATTAGTAGACACACAAATTCTTAAAAACGAAGCCTTATATATAAAAAAAATAGTTGAACAAACCACATTTTTTTCAAATTTTTACAAAATCAGGACTCTAATCTCTCAAATTCACAAAATACTGAGGTTTTTTTTCACAACAAAAATGGCACAACCCTTGTCCTTATTTGGGTCTGAATCTCTTAAGCATATAATAAGGTAAATTTTATAAGTGTGGTCTTTGCAGACAGAGAAAAAAAAGTTCCTTCTTTTTTCTCATTTTTTTTTTATTCAATAAAATAAAATCAAGATTGATAGCAGGTAAGTTGTACTCCGAAATGCGGATCTATAATTTCAAAGAGGGATGTTATTTTTATTACTAAAGAAAAATATCACTTTTCAGATCAAAACGATTTGAATACGGGTTTTGTAGGTTGTTATTGGGCTGTGAAGGTCATAGTCCATTATAACTATCACACTGAGTGTGATTAAAAGATCAGTGATAAAATATAACTTTTATTTACGAATTTCTCTGATAATAGTCATTACAATTTTCTCAATATTTCCTCATTTTTAGATGATTTAACAAATCAACCAAAAACATCCGTATATAAAAATTAAAATAATAAATAATAATTAAAAGCAATGAAATTTTTTTTTCTTTATCGTGGTAAAATCGAAGCAAAAAATTGTCGCGAAATGAGTTGTTTAATCTCTTTCTTTTTTACTGTGTATAGCTGATTATGTCTGTTTTGAAAATAGTAAGCTATTGGAATATAGCTTGAACAAATTTCACGTCAATTAGATAAAAAAATACTTGTAATTCATACATTTTTAGTAAGATCTCTCCTTATGAAACATTCTACTTTTCTCTACATTCATAAAATTCTAAGTCTGTCTATGTAGACGCTCAAAAAATTTCAAGAACCATATTGGAACGTTTTTTTCCTACAATTTACAAAGTTTTATGGTGTAGTTTTTGAAAAATCACCACTCTTCTGTGTATATCGAGAAAATCACAATTCCGAACTGAAACTCATTGTTACAGATGGAACTTTCTTTTGAATGGGTTTAAAGATACATACAATGATTTATCCCACAAATAGCCAATATTTTAAATGATATTTCAAACTTTTTTTACTGATTCAGCTGTCGCTGTTATTTTAAACTGCATAGTTATTTGTAATTTCTAAAGAAATAGAACCAGACTAAAACTTAGTAAAATGAATTACCATTTTGAATCTTGCTAAAAAATCAAATTAGTTTTCATCACAGTGTTTTAATGCTAAATTAAAAACATATGCTCAAAACAAATACGCAGGTATTCAAATGTAAATTTTTTTTTTCAATACGCTCGTTTATACTGAACTGAACTTATTACTAGAAATTAACTTTCTTAAATTTTGTTTTGATAGTAAAGTCCCTCGTATTTTCTTAAATTTTTAGTTTGAATTTAATTTTGTTATAATGTCACTTATAATGTTTTCTTGAATGTTTTATAATGTTTTTTTGATCTTGATCTTTTCTTGTTACTTAATCTTTATCTAATTTTGATATTATTATTTTGATAATGCTACTTACATTCCGTTAAATTTTATCTAAAATTTATTTTTCTAAATTTTTTATAGTTCATTATCTTAATTTTTGCTCTAAATTTATATTCTGAAATTTTATTTTGTAATAATGTTGTTTATATTTTCTTAAATTTATTTTATTTTATATTATTAATACTATCAATGAAACTTTCTTAAAATTTACTGTAAATTTATTTTCAAACTTTCATTCCTTTAATAACGTCGATCCCTCAAATTTTCTTTTAAATTTTCACAAATCCTTATTTAAACATTTGCATGAAATTTTGCTAAAATTTTCAAAATTTCAATTTTTTAACTAAAGTTATAGTAGCTAATATTTTTTATACTTCAAATGTATTTTCCTACATTTAAATTTTGTATAATGTCAATTATTTCTGCGAATTTTTTGAAACTTATTCGCTTTTTCATGATAATTTTATTACAATGTCTTTTCTTTTTTTAAAATGTTGTTTTTAGGTCAGCGATCTTTCTTCCTCTCCTCGCACTCTACCCCCTTCACCTCCTATAAACCGAAATGTTATATCTTTGGTTAAAGAGAAATCCAGAACACGAGGCATTTGCGGCTCAAAATCTAATTCACTTCCTAATAGTTCGACAGACACTACATATGATGATGATTCATATAATAAAAGTGCAGAAAATCAAGATATCGGTCACAAGGTATCAATGTTTCTCTTCATAATGTTTATTGAGCAATAAAGCCTGTATTTTCTTATCACCCAATACCCTTGAAAGTATTTATTTATATATCATCGGTGAGTTTTTTAAATCTTAATTCAGCTCAAACGTGTGTTTTTGGACGCAACGCAAAATTCGTGTTTACAAAAATTGACACATCTCAAAATGGGCGTTTGTGAAAATGGACACATTTCAAAATGTGTGTTTACGAAAATAGACACAGCTCAAAAGGCTTGTTTACGAAAATTAACACAGGTCGAAATGCATGTTAACGAAAAACGGCACAGCTCGAAATGACGTGTTTACGGAAATAGCTATAGCTTGAAACGCGTGTCTTCGAAAATGGACAGAACTCTAATTGCATGGTTACGAAAATAGACACAGCTCGAAATGCGTTTTACGAAAATCGACACAGCTAAAATGTGTGTTTACGAAAAAATACACAGCTCTTAATACGTCTTTACGATAAAGTACACAGCTCTAAATGATTGTTTACGAAAAAGTACACAGTTTTAAATGATTGCTTACGAAAATGAACACAGCTGTAAATGCGTTTTTACGAAAAAGTATATAGCTCTAATTACGTTTTTGCGAAAATGGACTTGAAAAGAACCAATTTCCTTGATAGTTTTAATTTATTTATCGTCGGTTAGCTTTTATATCTGGACACAGCTTGAAATACGTATTTAAGAATATCGACACAGGTCGGAATGCGTTTTACGAAAATCGACGCAGCTAAATTGTGTGTTTACGAAAAAGTACACAGCTCTAAATGCGTGTTTACGGAAAAGTACACAGCTCTAAATGCGTGTTTACGAAAAAGTACGCAGCTCTAAATGCGTTTTTACGAAAATGGACTTGAAAATGACCAATTTCCTTGATAGTTTTATTTTATTCATCGTCGGTTAGTTTTTATATCTGGACACAGCTTGAAATACGTGTTTAAGAAAATCGACACAGGTCGGAATGCTTGTTTACGAACATTGACATAGCTTGAAATGCGTGTTAACGAAAATAGTCACAGCTCAAAATGTGTGTTTACGAAGTTACATGTGTTTTTGAAGCACTTATTTTGATACGTGTCGAGTTGAAACACGCATCTTGAGCTGTGTCTATTTTCGTAAACACGTATCTCATTTTCATAAATAAGCATTTCTAGATGTGTCCAGATTCACTGGTGATATGTTTTGTAGCATGCCTCTTGAAGTATAAGTGGTAAAAATGTAAAGTGGTAAAGGTAAGTAGTTTTTTCCTTTCTGAGGCATCTTTATACGTGGCTTCGGAGGTGTCCCATAATGACTGTTTCTCCTTGTCTTTTCAAATCTTCATTTATTTTTGTTGAAAACTGATAGACAGATGTTACATAAAAACAGGGTCCTTAATATGTATTCTTAGAATCTTTTGAAAAATTAAAAAGTATACATATTGTGGTCGTAAATTAATGTGTAAATGAGGAAAAACTAAAATAATAAAGAAATATGACCAATTACAGTAGAGGTATAAGTATGTAATAAGCATCAAAACAGATTAAACTGGAGATTGAAATTTAAAAGTGTTTCACAAAATCGTCCTCTCAGTTACCACTTGAAATCAAACGTATGTTATTGTTTGTTACATACGCCATCCTGCTCTTGTGATTTGTCAGATTTCTATAACACTTTTTTATTTTTTTCTAGCTTTATTAATTTGCTACCCCTCATGCATACATTATTTCGTTTTCATTTATGATAAAGATTATAAAAATACTTATTAAGAGCTGTCTTTAAGGAACATCCCGTATTTTCTTAGAATCTTTGTCAAAAATGAAGTACAAACTCATGCCATTTGGAGATACAAATTAATATGAAAGTGAGGAAACAAAAGGGTTATCAAAACTTGACAAATTGAAAGTTGCTGATTGATTCTTATGTCTAATTATCGCCTTTCGCATACATTCAATTTTCTTTAACAATCAGGCAAATATTTTGAATCTCGCTACCCTGGTTAACGATTAGTCAACTATTAATAACGTTTTTCTTTGCTTAGTAAATAATTTGTGACCCCTAATTTGCATATTTCTGTAGCATCATTTTTGAAAAGCATTCAAAAGGTGACTATTTAATGCACATACCATAAGTATCCGTAGAGCTCAAAATTAGCTTCTGTTAATATTATTTCCACCCTTTCGCGAAGTACTCATGCTCAATATCTGACAATCTTTGATATGAAGTTTTTAAATTCATGCCTAGCATAACGTATTCAAAAGCTCCCCCTCTCCTTCAATGTATACTTCTTCTATCAGCACTACAGCTGATTGCCAACCCTGACTCGCCGGAGCAGCTTTATTCATCTTGATTTAAGTCAGACTCTACTACTTTCCATCCATTAACTCTTACACTACCCAGACATTTTTCCACATAATCTAACCAACTTCAACTTGGTCTACCTCTCTTTTTCCTACTGATTTGTGATAAGTTTTTCTTTTTTACTGCGCTTTCATTGTCATGTCTATGGACATGACCAGGCCATTTCATCTGTTGAATTTTAATGAACTTACCTTTTTCAGGTTTCTGTATTTCTTGTATCTCAAAGTTGTATCTTATTAAACTTTTACTTCACAAAAAATTTCTTCTCAACATCTTCCGTTCAATATGAGTAATTTTTTTTCTGATTAATTCCTTGCCAGCACTCATTTCCATATAAAACTATTGGTCTTACTTAGATCTTATGCTCATGTATTTCTTTTTCTGATCAAGTATTTTGGTTTGAACTGTTCACTTAATTACAAAGCATCCAAAACCAAAGAAATAGCATCATAGTATAGTAATAGCACAATAGCAAAGAAATAAATCACATTAGTAAAGAAATAGCATCGATTAGCCATATTTATCTTGTTCTTAATTACTGTTTTAACGTCATTGTTATTGTTTAATATTGTTCCTAAATATTTAAATTAATAAATTTTTTTCGAAACGTACTCTTTTATTTTCAATGGCGATGAACTTGGTGTTTTGCTTTGTACTGTTAATATATACAATTTAATTTACTATCTAATCCAATATATTGTGGAAAAAAACATCTTTAGATCTGCTATCCTATTACTTTTAACGACTTTTAAAATTGTTAATTATTGTTATGACCAGTATTTCGATGTATGCGTTAATTGACATTTTTTTCGAATTGCAGGCGAATGAACAATTGGATACTCATACTAAAGAAATAGTAGTCGAGTTTCTTGAAGACCAGTTGTTATTAAATGGTGAAGAGAGGCCTGTATCTCCCATAACACCACCTGTTGAATTTATGAATGGGTCTGATAATGAATCACCTCTACAAAAGAAAGCACTGGCATCAAATCAAATCAAAAATAAAGAGTGCAGAAACTCAAGTGCTCGAAAAAACCAGATTAGCAATCTGGATTCTAAAGAAAAACTATTGGGAGAATGTAGCATGTGTTTAATAATGAGGTCAAAGTTGATTACTGCTCAAGAAGAAATACGAAAATTGGAAAAGGAACTCAAAGAAGCGCATGCAAATTTTGATAATTTAGAAATGTTTTCTTATAAGCTCACCCAGGATATAAAATTGAAAGAGGATAGTTACAGTTCTCAAATAGCTTTGATGACAGCCAAAATTGACGATCTAACGTCAAAGTTCACCTTTGCGGAAAAGAACTATCGCCAATTGAAGCAAAAAGCTGCCAAAAGTGAAACCAAAGAACGAAGGAGGAGTTCCCTTAAAAATAGAGATGGTTTATCGTTAACTAAGGAGTACGAAACGAAACTCTGTGAGTTGGAAAAGAAAATGAATTCCTTCGAAACCTCTTTCAAAAGAGAACCTTTTGATGAAGAAGGATCCGAGATATCATTCTCAGATTGCAATTCTAGATTAAACGAATCTTTTGTTGCAACTTCAGAATCCTCAGAAACGAATACTCCTTCAGAGACTACACCTAGCGAAGGCAGAGGCTTTTTTTCTCGCTTGCAAACTCTTATGTCTAAAGTCGACAATGTAAACACTTTATTTTCGACTAAAGATGACTCCGAACAAATTCTTGAAAGTCCAAAGATTCTTCTGCAGGTGAAAAGCAGTGACGAACTTAGTTCACTTGATGAATCCGATGAGTGGCACACGCAGTCACCGACAGACACTCATGTCATCTCTAAAACTTCGGATCAGAATACTTATTTTCCTAAAAATCTGTCCGAATGCCAAAATATGCTTTCGCAAAAACTAAATAGTCACTTAGAATGGTTAAAGAATTCTCTAACAGCCTTGTGTGAGAATAAAAATAACATTACTGACAGTCATACTGATAAACTTAGTCTTGTAAATAATTTAGTATCAGAACTAAATGAGCTTCCCCAAGAAATCGAATCAAATTTGCTATCAGAACAAAAGTCTCTTTTGTTATTTGAAATAACTAAGGCTCTCGAAAAAATCAACAGAACTGATAGTTTGGAAACGCTGTTAAAATTAAATGCTACAAAGAGCACTTATAAAACGATATTTCAAACTTTTTGCATTGCTTTCGCAGAATATGGCAACAACGAACTACCTGTGACATTAATATCGGGTATTCCCCAATTTGACTATTTCTGCCCTACTATTGCTAAGCTATTTCCTGAAACTTTTAGAGATACCATATCAGCTGATGATTTAACTCAGAGACTTCAATCAGTGTCAGACAAGTTAGAAAATCACGTGGCTTCAATAAACCGAGCTAAACTTTTAAAATATGAACACTTATGGAATATACTGACTGAAGTTCCGGTACAAGACGACCACATAAAGAAACCACCTGAAATAAACTCTATGTTTAATTACATTACATCAATCGCGACCGACATTCATAGGATTGCTGAAATTCAGCTTTGCCAAGTGCCAAAGGAATTGTCGAATTCCACGCTGGAATGTGAAGATGAACAACAATTACGCGATGTGTTCGTTAATACCCTCAAAAACAACTTAACGAACTTCTTAAAAGAAGTTAAGGAAAAATGTCCAATGGTTAATGAAAGCACCATATCGTTCTATAAACTGAAAGAGAGCACTCGCATTAGCATTATACGGTTAATTGCAGAATTGTCTTTTCTAGATATTTGCCATACAATGCTAAGTTTTTTGGCAGAATATTACCTGAAAATTGATCAAAATAATCAAGAATTGTATCAGTCAGACTTGTATAGACAAGATAGGTTGCTCCCTCTCTTTGCGAATGGTATGCCATGCGAAATTTTCGGAGATACGTTCTGCTGTCCTCAGTGTACAATTCTGAACAATTTATTGTATAAATCAAACGAGCAAATACAGTGGCTGGATTTCGTCAGAAAGTACAATTATTACAATTTTAGAAAATTCGATAAATGTTCTACGTCAAATAATGAAGAAGGTTCGATAAATTTCTGTGCCAATTGTGATAGTAATAATTTTCCAAATAGTCAAGCTAAAAGCCAAAAAGACGTATGCAATAACGTAACCTGTACGCAGTGTGACAGCTGGATACAGAAATTTTGCACCTCAGAAAAACAACACGAGCTGGAACAACGAACGTTAGAGTTGAAGCATAACTCGGAGTTGAAACAGCTGGAAGAGTGTATAATAAAAAGTGTGAGTTTATATATATTATCTTTATTTGATACATTTTTACTTCATAGTACATTTGCTATATTTTCCCGGCCTCTAAGTGATAAAAATTAATCTATTTTCTCCGTTGTCTTTTGATATTTTTTTTTATAAGATGTCTTTTTTGATTGCTTTATATATAAAACTAAACGATTCACTCAGGAGACCAAATTTTGCGTGAGAGCAAGAGCGCTCCGTTTTCGAAGTTTATTCCATCTTTTATCGTAAAAAATTGCTAAATGTAGAAAAAAATATTCAAAATTAAGAATATGCCAAAAATTTTGGTAATTGGCGAACCATAATATTTCACAAATTTGCTACAATCATAATGAGATATCAACAGAGTTTACAAAACTTGAAAATTTCAAGAGTCAGCATCCGGAGAATATGCAAATTTTTAAATTTAAAAGGGTGGATTGCATTTAACCAAAATATTGAGAGTCATCTGCGATTTTTAATTATTGAGATTTTGAGAGCCCTCGGTTGAACCATTGACCTATAAACTAATCCCGCCGAATACATAATTACGTTATTATCATTCACCTTTAGTGGAAATCGAATTCAACTAAACACCGTATTAAGAGTACAATAAAATTTGCTGAATGTTGTGTTTTTAGGTACCGATATAATTGTTCATTTTTAAACTCAATTGTCTGTGATTATAAGATATAAGTAACTTTGCTACTTTCCAAATCATATCACTACTCCTTTAAATAACTCGTAATTTTTGTTCTTCTGTAATTTTCAACCTTTTTCCTTCTTGCAATAATAAACTATCTCGCATATCCCATATTCTAATCCTATACTTATCATTTCATTTTTATATGTATGGGAACTTTACCGACTAAACATTCGAAAAACGTTTATACTTACAAGCGTACTGATAGTAGTCTAATGACGGTTTTCCAGTGGAAATTATCGATAAACGTGAAAGTGATGGGTACATTTAAGGAATTTTTTTCCAATGCCCTCCTGGAGAACGACCTTTCGTCATACAGGCATCTGAAGGGCATATTACGGGAGCCAACGTTGCTCCCATAGTAAGGACAGATAGTACAGAGAATGAAAGAACATCCATGCCTTGACCGGGATTCGAACCCAGAACCTTTCTAATGCAAGGTCATTTCCCTGACCCCTACACAGGCCGGTCGGCACATTTAAGGAATAAGAAGTACGAATTAATCAAGTGAATGAGATATGGTTTTCACAAAATAATTTTGACATTAATGTTTTCCATATTTTTTTAATAAATTTAAAGTGTCATATTAAAATCGTATTCGAATATAATTGCAATTCAATATTGTTTCCCACGAAATAATTCCCTTGTGGAACTTACATATTATCGGTGACGGTTCTTCCTTTATATTGTAATTAGTAGTGCTGTAACTCAGATGTTGGAACAGTCTTTATCTGATCTGTTACAGACTTTAAGTGTTTTTTCAGTCTCCCTAAATGACGTCCTTTGAGATGAATTATTCAGAAGAGAAAAGGCTCGAAAGGACTCAAGAATGGGAAATTAAGAGGTTCAAGAGCCTCAGGAATGTGTTTATTAACCTAAAACACATTTTTTGACATTGCTGAGTGAAAAGGCGTTTTGCCGTTCTTGAATGTTTGGTCTCACAAGCATTATCCTTTTTTTTTGTTGTTTTTCACTGGCATTCTCCTTTTTGGTCTCACGGGCGTTATCCTTTTAGTACAAATTCAACTTATTTTTTAAAATCTGATGAACCGTAGTGCGATACAAATCCAACTGTTCTCCCATTATTCTAACCGTAATCGACGGTTTGAAAACTCAAGATACCGAATTTTGTCAACGTTTCCATCGGTTTGAGATCGTTTTGGTACATGGTTCGTCTTTGTCTCAATTCCTTCTGAATATGTTTTAAGCCACAAGAAGAAAAAAAACTTTATCTATTGACAAAACAATGTCTCCTTTGGCTCGCTGGAGTTTTTCAAATGCTATTTAGTTGACCGAGTCTGAAGCAAATTGTGATAGCATACCGTTGCTTCTTACTAATGTCACTCATTGTCAGAACACACTACGTAAATTGATTTCACTTGGAACATGACTATGAAACCTAATCTACCGAATTCACACTTGTACTTTGGTAGGTCTAAGATTGACTTGTCCCGCAGTGGACTGATCATTAAGACGCGGTTCCCAGCAGATCACCGAAATCAAGCATCACTGGCTGCGGTCAGTGTGCGGGTGGGTGACCACTTGGATCAGTCTGCGTAGGGACCGAAGGTGTGAGGCATTGATCCTCGTTAAACTGTTCTACCGTAAAGTGCTCGCCATCGGTTGTAGGTCGTCGGGCTACCGAAGTGGGGGTGCCACCCCTTCTGCAGAGGATCAAAATTGTGATAGCATCTCTTAGAATCCTCCTCAGGGATGCTTCCCAGACCGTCGCCAATAGCCCATTGTGCAGCTCTAGTGCGACGTAAATGAACTTAAACAACAACAACAAGATTGCCTTAACGAACGTCACGACAATAGTCTCATTACTTGATTTACACGTTTACAGGTTTTTTCGTGATTATTCCCAAAATATATTTACAGTGCAACAAAATTGAATGGTTAAAACTGTAAGAGGAGTTAAAATACATCATAAAGGATAGGAAATTGCATGACCGGAAATGTCATCGTACACCGCTTGGGGCACTATTGAGTTTTGTTAAGCCGGCTCTTTTATTTATCAAAGTCGTCTGAACTTTATTTAAATTTTATGTTTTATTACACTGGAGAACATTTTTTTATTGCATGAGACTTTTCAACGAATCCTAGATACTTTTATTTCGTAAAACTCAAATCTTCGCTCGGTTTCTCACTCTAAGCTAAAGCTTTCTCGAATGATATTTTTAGTCTATTTCTGTATTACTGTACTGTTTAGTCTATCTACTGTACAAGTTTAAAAAAATTATGTATGACAAGAGATCGCGGGAATGTTGCGACAAATTTCTAGAGGAGTTAGTAGAGTACATCATCGGGATTAATATTGCGTAGAAACCCATGCCCGGAAATGTCGTCGTACGCCGCTAGGGGTGTTCCAGCTATGATGAACTGCTTCTGCGTGTATTCGCCCCATCCGCGTACGAAGACCTTACTACGTGCAATTTTAATCCTGATGATGTGCCCTAACTCCCCTAAAAATTCACACGACCCTCTGTCATACATAAAATTTTCTAACTTGTGCTTTTCGAAAAGTCTCATTTCCCTCCAATTTCATTTTCAATTTAAAATTAATCCTCCTAACATTTTTTTAATCAATATCCTGTAACATTTTCTTTCCTGCTAATTTGTTCCACAGTGAACAGAACATAATACACATTGCCCTGTTGATCCATGAAGTCAAGCATCAAATGGCAGCTGGCAGTGAGTGTGTGGATAACCACTTTGATCAGCTTGCGAAAGGACCGAGGGTGCGCGGTATCTCGTTAATCTAATCTACTCTTAAGTACTCGACTCCTCGTGCAGATCGTCATGTTACTGAAAGCGGGGAAGCCATCCTCTCTGCAGAGGATCAAAATTGTGATCCCATATCTCCCTATCATCCTCAAAGATGTTTACCTTTGCCAATAGCCTATTGTGCAGCACTAGTGCAACTCAAATAAAGTACTACTATTTCCCTGATAAGTTTTTTATATTTATTGCATTTTTATATGGGCATGCATCCTTTGTGCTTAGAATTTTCCGGGTCGTGGTAGCCTAGCGATTTGAGAATCAGGCTCTCACTGGGGTTTGATCGTGGACTCCGCTAATACCCACCGAGTACATACGATATACGTAGGCTCGTAAAATCTATGGAATCGAAAGTCCAGTACTCTGTCTTTCAGTTGTACCGTGGGTACAGGAATTAGTAGAAAATCTCCTATCTTTTCAAATCTGTGTCTAAATTGAGGAAATGGCGTCACAAATGCGTGGTGCTGCCATCTATCCGTGGGGTTCTGAGTCATTCTTGTAGTGCTCTCTTGTCTAACGAAAGGTGCACCCTCCTGATTTAATTCGTAAACGGCCAATAGCTGGTAAGCTTAGCTTTCCAGCTATAACAAAATTCATTAGAAACGACTGAATTTTTATTTAAAATTATTTTATTCTAATAAATTGGTTTTCTATTGCATAATTATGATGAATACTTATTATTTTCAGAGCGAGATCCACGAACAGGAAATGTTGCAAAAACAAAATGAATTGTTAGCTGCCACAACACAATTTCAACGTTTAAAAGTAAGAAAATCTATTTTACAACTTTTATACGCAATCATTTATTATAAGAATGTTGGAGAACTTAAAAAAGAGATTTGAATAATCAATTATAGCTTGATCAAATAACAAAATAACTATTTTAATATTTGACCATGACATAATTGGTTATATGTTTAAAAATAATTCAGTATTTCGAATGAATTGAATTTGAATTATTTTTTTCATAATATATATATAACTATCACTTTATTTTTAAATTTTATAAATAGCAGATTTACTGAAACATTGAATCAATAATGAAGCCTTTTTATTTTCTAGTTATTCGATTAAAGTTACTCTTCTTCGCAACTTGAAATGTTAGTTAATTTGTTTATTTATTTCACATATAACAAATCTTTTAATAAATACGGCTATACGAATATTTTTCGTTTTGAAATTTTATATAATTTTGAATTTTGATAGTTTTTTTAAAAAAAAATTTGTAATTAATTACATTTCTATTTTATTATTTATTTTAAAGAATTCATTATAAATATTAAATGCGCAAAAAAGTGAGAGATCTCTTTAATAAATGTTGATCTTATGGCCGGATTTTAACGTAATAAGACAGAATCTTAATGGTTCGCCGTAAACTAATTAATTAGCTTATAATAAAATGTGTAGACAATTTAGCTGCAAATATCTTTTCTCTGAATAAACATACTTTTTTGACTAATTATGACCCTTAAGAAATCTAGCGGTAATTTTTAAAAAATAGAAAAAAAAGAAAAAGGTCTGATTAGTTTAGGCAGAATAGATGATCGAAAGTTTGGGCCACTTAATCTAATTCCACTTTTGCTTAGTTTACCATATTTTCGAATCTAATATAGTGAAACAAAGAAATTTTGCTAACAATTTTAAAGCATTGTTTATTTAAAAATAATTTCATGTAAAAATTCTCCTTATTTTTAGTTTTTATTATTTACTTAGTTATAGTCGAAAAAATTTAATTGCGAATTGTAATAGTATACAAATTTTTTACACCCTTTTAATGTAAGCATTTTTGAAAATGAAATCCGAAATCGGAAGGAAATCGGTCGAATAGTTCTTGAGAAATAAAAATTTAACAATAAAATTTCAAGGGATTCAAACATTAAGGATTTCAAAATTTCGTCCGCTCTTCTGAAAGAACTACTGAAATCTAATTTTACAGAATGTGGCTACACATTTTGAGGTTCAAAAACCCAAATTTATCGAACTAAAAGTTATATATGCTTTGTAATGTTGACGGAATAGATAACGTGAGCAGAATAGAATTGAAGGATTGATTGAATTTAAATGTTTTTGAGGGACGGGATAGCCTCGTTGGTAGGGCGTCAGACCCATGTCTAAGTTATCGTAAGTTTGATCCCCGCCGGCTGAAGACTCCCCTTATAGTAATTGTTGACTGGTGCACGTTAAATATATTAGCTCACAAAGTTCTTCAAGTTCTCATAACAAATCAATACCTCTGGGGGAGGGGTACTAAATTGGAAATAGATCTTTCTCTGGTTCAGGTAAGAATTACGATCTATTATTACGAATAGGTCTGCCCTTTGAAACGAGCTGTGACGTCTGTGTGGCTAAAACCCTTGGCGAACAAAGAACACGGGGCGCGCTCAAAAGAGCAGAAAATCAGGGTCATGAATCGTGGTTGCCGGGAGAAAAGTGTTGCACCAAGCAGACTCCTCAATTCTGCTTTTAACATGTAAAGTCTATGGCGGGCTTGTCATACTTTGAATCGATTTTTCTTGTTCAAGAATCGGAGTGATCAATTAAAAAAAAATACTAATAATTTTTTCAATCTTTCCTATCCACGAAAATGTAGGTTAATTTTTTTAATCTTTATTACTTTTTGTAATATTGCCTTTGAAACACAAGTCACTTTCTACCTTTGAGTAAGGGAGGAAGGCAACTTCCACCCCCAAGTTCACTAATCTTCTCGGTGGGAGGTCTTGCTCCCTTTTGAAAATCTTTTTCTCTCTCTGTCCTTCTGAAGAACTGATATGGGGAACGCTTTAAAAACCGATAGCTTTCTTTTTAGTTATAAGCTTGTAATTTATTATGAAAATTATATTTGCTGATAATTCGTTCATTCTATATACATTTTATTTATTTAGTAGTAATAATTTTCTTGTTTTTATTCATTTTGAGAATGGAATTTATTTTTTAAATACATTATTCCCCTTTTTTTAAACTTTGTTTCTTGTTTTTTAAAGATGTTTCAGAATTAAAAAAATTAGCTGCTGAATAAAGTGAGATTAATTAAAATCGAATAAATGACGTAAAGATCTTCCAATATACTATAAAGCATCACAAAACTGCAGTTTTCCTTTTTTTT